TCATGTGGCTCCTTCCGCTCCTTCTAGATTCTAAATCAAGATCTCTACACGTGCTTTCCTTTGAAACCCATTCCGCAAATGCTTTTTCCCTTCCCATCAGCAGGACTCTATTGAGCAGCGCCTGCAAAACAAGAAACTGAACCCGCACCAAGAAATCACAACTTCAACTTGGGCCGAGTCACGGCTAGGGCTCCATCTATTCGGAAAATCTCGCATGACTCCTTCCGGGGCACGCGATTCCTTTGGGTCGCCTGCGCAGACCTCTTGAATCCGCTGGGCGTCCCCGCTAGGCGGGTATTTTCCGGTGCCCCCGAGAAAGGGGACCGAATCGCTTGCAGCGGCGCAGCCTTTTCACATGTCAGAGGTTAGGCCCGGTGATAGAATGTATATTTTGTTGTTTGCTTCAATTTGAGCTGGTAAAATGGTAAAATGTCTCCTGACTCCTAAGTCTACCCCAGCTCATTCCTCTGGTGGAAAGGGGTCCCCCATTTCAGGAGCCGGCCCTGGGCGCTTGCGCAAGCGCCCAAGACGGCAACCAAGGCTTCTCGGCCCGAACGCGCGGCTGGCCAGGGCCGCGTGCTCCGGTGCCACTATGCCACGAAACAATTGGCTGAGTTCCTCCAAGGAAAACAAGAATAAGGCTTGCCATTCAAGCCCTCCCAAACAAGCCTGATATCTCCACGTTGGCAGTTCGTACCGCATTTGCAGGAGTTGAAGCAGCCATGTGAGTCACAATCAAAACCTGGTATTCAACAAATTCTGGCTGGGACTTTCCCGTACTAACCTTCGCGTAACCGGGTTTTGATTCTGGCTTATGTGTTGGTAACTAAGTTTACTTCAGACACCAAGCTCGCTGCACGGATTCGCCGGGGCTTCTTTGGCTCCTTTCGGAGCGAAAAGCCCGCGGCGCTTCCGGCTGCGTTGCGCGGCTGTCCGGGTGACACCGACCAGAGCCTCTCTGGGGTCGAGCGGGTGCCCACCCAATTACCAAGCTGGGCATCCTGCCTTTTGGGGGGAAGGAACAGAAATCGCTGGCATAGAAATCGCAAAGAAAAAAACCGTGGAATAAGAAAAACGAGGGGGGCCACGTGGACAAGTCAACAGGAGTGTTCCTCTGAGCCTTTTCTCAGCGCTCCATGCCTCATGGCACGGATCTTTCTCAGGTTCCCATTGGCCAGCTTCGTTGGAATCCTGGCAGAAGGACCCACAAGTCTCCATCCGACGAATTGAACCGCCAACACTCTGCCAGGGTCATAGCTGGCAAAACTCAATGGTCTATTCCTCCACAACAAGGCACGGCCGATGACCAGCAGGTGTTTCGAACCTTTTTGGTTAGGACAGTGACAGCCTCGTGGACGTGCCGCTTGCGGGCTCCTCAACAGAAACGTCCTTATGGTGCATCGCCACTATGAACAAGGGATCGATCCGCAGAATCAGTGTGTCCTCATGTTTGCAACAACCCTCAAGGCGGAATCCTCGCCCCCCCAAAAAAAACAGCTTTCAAATATGGCCATGGGAAAAACCCCGTACCCCCAGTGAACATCCCAATCCCCACTAAAAAAGACTAAAATGGGTGGTGCACCTATCCCAAAATGGTACCATCGGTTTTGAACCATGGCCATATCCCAATAAGACTTGGCCCAGCCCCCCAAGTCGCGTCCTTGGCCAATGGCCTGGATGGTTGGCGGAAGCGACCAGCCCTGCTGCGAGGGCGAGCGGCTGTGGGCAGGGCTCCTCAGAGTCCAACGAGCCCAAAGCGACGTCCAGGGTCAGAGCTGGGTGTGGCTCAAAATTGAACCACCAGGATATGGAACGCAGATGTTGTCGTCTTTGGTTCCATTTACCAGGGCTCTATTTTGGGATTTCCCATTTTGACCCACAGCCAGCTGACAAGACGTGACTCGCACGACATGTTGCGCCCGCCAGGCGCCATGTCCGAGCCGCTCGAAGCCTTGAGAACTCCTGTTCTATCCCAGGGACTGCGATTCCATAGTGGCAACTTGAGAGTGCAAAACGGGTGGCCACTGAGTGTGCTTGTGTTGGATTCTCAAATGTTCCTCAATAGAAAAGGGAGTTCGCTGGACAAGCCTCTGGGCAGACACGTCCCTTGTTCATACTTCATGCCCCGTGCTTCCCTAATCAGGAGCCTGCTTTTTGTATTGGTTACTTATTTGGCAGCGGCTCAAAAAACCGGTACCAAATGGAACCATGGTAAGTGGAAACATGGACCAAAACCTGCGTAACCCCTCCTGTTTAATATTGAGCCACACCCATTTACTCGTGTGAAGCGGCTTAAGAACGAAGAGCGGCAAGGCTTTTGGGGATCGCTAGGGCCAGCGCGCTGCCCGGTTCCAACCTTGCGCCAGAACCGGTTGACACGTGAACCAAATTGCACTGACGCAATGAGAAGCCCCCTTGAAAGACTACTTGTTAGGAAGGGGTTTCTGGGAGCTTTCATCTTTGGTGGTGGCAACTCATCAACCTGGAACAAAGAAATTTGGAGGACCTCGAGAAAGAAAACTCCTCAGCGAGCTTGCAAACCTTGCTGGTGAGCCCGAAAGTTGTTGTTTTGCGCGCGGCGTGGAAGAGCAGGGCACAGAAGGACCTTTCAGTCAAGCAAGCTCACTACTTGCATTTCGGCCAAAGGTAGCGGCGATTTGGATTTGGCATTGCGCGCAGCCCCCAAGCTCTAAAAAACCCGAGTAAATCTCAGTGACCTTCCCAACCGCCTGCCTCCCTGAAAATGATCTTGAACGGTTGCACACTGAACATGTCTGGGGCATCCAGATGTTCAACAATGTCAGGATGTCACAAAGCCTTGCCCTTTGAGAGAGATGTGGCCAGGCGGCCACATAAGAGTTTGCAGTTTGCCGGGCTGCACAAATCGTGAATCAAAGTGGGGAAGCCCAATGATTCAGCCCTCGGAACTCTCAAGACCTGAGCCCCGGCGGTTTTTCGAACCCCGAGCGCCCAGGTCCCGCCTGGACCCATGGGAGGCGTCTGGGCGCGCGCCAGCTGGCCGGCCTGGCCCTGGGGCCAGAAGCAGACCGGCCTCAGTGGGTCCAGATGGAATCAGTTTGGATCCGAATCGCTCGTGGTTTGCGTTGCTGGACAGATGGTTTGGATCCGAATCGGTGGCTGGTGGTTTATATAAATTGCTGGTTTCCAGCATAAACCCAATAGAACCAGGGCTTCAAAATGCCCACACAAATTAGCGAGCCATGCAAAAGGCTGAGTGCGCATGTCGCGTGTGACGGTGTCCTGCAATAGAATACGTAGTTGCGTGCGTCTGCTAAAGAGTGCATCCCTGTTTGCCTGCGTGCCCGCCTGCCTGCCTGGATGCATGTGTGAAGGCATACATCTATCTGCCCAACCGAGAAATGCCATGAAGCCAGCAAAACACCTCTAAGAGTGCCGGTTCAAACATAGAAACTAGAAATTGGCAGGTCTCAAACCAAGGGCCTTTCCAACTAGTTTCATGTCGATTAGGCAAGTAGGGACTTCTCGGTGACTTCTAAGCTTTCCTTTCCAAGGAGCTGCTGGGAGCTGGAGCTAGAGATGGTGCGGCCTGCAGCCAAGCAGAAGGTCACCGTCCGGAAGTGCGTCGAGCTCGCTGTGCTTAAATCATGTGAACATCCGTAACCACCCTCAAAAGCCCAGCGGCACCACAAGAGCAGCGATAGCTGCCAGCTCTCCCTGCAAAATACGTATTCAGCATGATTAGTTAGCACCTGCGGTTGCAGCCCGCGACAGTATACAGGCACTTGTCCAAAATAGACCCATGGACAAGTTGCTGGGACGGCTACCAGCGGGAAGCGGACCCATCATTGCCCTGGATTTGAACCAATACTGCAATGCTTCTACCGGGCCTGAACCGCAGAAACTACTGAAAATTATGCATCTTGAGATGCCCCGTGCATCACCAAAGGCAAGCTCCTGGGACCTAGGCTCTCAGCATTCTCACTCTGAGCCCTCCTCCATCACCGTAACCCCGAAACTTGCTTCAAAAGGTTGGAAGCCAGTTGAAAGCACGATCGCGCCCCTGCGCCTGTCACTGAAGGCTGTGACTGCACTGGCTGACTGGGGGCACCCCACCAGCTCCAAGCCTAGCGAATTCCCGGTAGATCAACAGGCATGGGTAAATCTCATTTCAAAAGGAAATGGATTTGGGCTGGCTGCGGTTTTCTTTGAACCCAAGCTGGAAATGGTACCCTCAAGAAAGACACGACCCAAGATGGGACTGCGGCAAAAGGGGACCCCCAACTGTGGCCCTTTTCGGTTGGAAGGCTGCAAAGTAGCTTGTTTGCATCAAAACAAGGACTCGTTGAGAGGCGGCTGATAGAGAAAACCAAAACTATGTGGCCATGGGCAAAATCCCGTGCCCCGAACCACTAAAATAGACTAAAATGGGTGGTGCACCTACCCCAAAATGGTACCATTGGTGTTGACCCACAGCCATATGTGCGGCGGTCAAAACATGTGTTGTGGTTGGCTGTCATGGCTGGCTGGGGTGTCGCTCTTCAAGGCCCCCTGTCGCTACACACAGTGCCAGCTCATTTCTCGCATCTCGGCTGGAAGGTCTCAGCTTTTCAGCACCAAAGTAGTACATGAGGCTTGCCTCAACCTCCTTCCTTTCATGCCTTTTCCCCATGGGCTACTGCGGAAGAGATGGTAGCGCTTGCTCGACACACGGGACGATCACTTCCCGCCGGCTCCTCTACGTCAAGGACATGCTCCTAGCTTTGTAGTGCAAGTGTAGCACTCGAAGTACACGTCCGCAGCCCAAGCTTGAAAATCGCAGCTTTGTAGTACAAGTGTAGCACGCGAAGTACACGTCTGCAGCCCCAGCTTGAAAATCGCAACTTTGTAGTACAAGTGTAGCACGCGAAGGGGCAACTGCCTACCTGAAGGGATTTTGGGTGTCGCTCCATAATCTGAAAGGTGTCGCTTTGGGTGTCGCTACGGGTGCCGGATTTTTTCCCAGGGGCTGCCGGAACCCTACTTCAAAAGCACAGTGCCTCTTTTTTGCTTGCATCGTCGCCTGTCCCCGCCAAGGCGACGGAGCACCTCTTAAACTGGAACGCTCAAACTGCCAAGACGAGATCCTTCAAACCTGTCTTGCGTCGCAGCCGGGACTTAGACTTCCACGATGTGTTCAGCACGTACTTCCGTTCCCATGCAAGTAAAAAGGTACTTACAAACATGTTCCATGGGGACTTACATACATGCAAGCCCTAAACAGGGGTGTTGCTACTCAAGGCCCCCTGTCGCTACACACATGTTTTTCAAACAACAGTTATGTCACGGCGGCCGCAATGAAGACCTCTACATAACGTGTTTTGACCCTTGCACATATGTCGATCGGCCAAAACTATCAAGCATCGCAAGGGTGAGGTGAGGTGCCAAGCATTGGTAAATGGCTTGCATTCACTTCGGTGATCAACCTGACAAGGATGACACACACACACACAAACACACAGGCAAGCACTTGCGCGCACGCACGCACGCACCCACCCACACACACACACACACCCAACCCCACGCCCACACACAAAGACACAAACACACACACAAACAAAAAAAACACAAACAAAAACAAAAACACAAACACAAACACGCACACGCACACGCACACACGCAGACACGCAGACACGCAGACACACAGACACACAGACACACAGACACACAGACACACAGACACACAGACACACAGAGACACACACACATAGAAAACACACACACACACACGCACGCACACGCACACGCACACGCACACGCACACGCACACGCACACGCACACGCACACGCACACGCACACGCACACGCACAGGCACACGCACACGCACACGCCCAACGCGCACGCGCACGCGCACGCGCACGCGCACGCACACCAACACAAGCACAAACACAAACACAAAAACTACACAAACACAAACAGACACACAAACACACAGACACACACACGCACAGACACACAGACACACAAACACACCCGCCCACCCACCCACTCACCCACACAAACACACAGACACACGGCGAGAAGTGTATGTTTCTGTACATGTGATATGACTGTGGCTCAAAAATAGGCGCCCAAAATGGGTTGCCCTGGTAAAGGGAAACATGGACTAAAACCTGTGGTCCCCTGCTGGTTGACTTTTGACCCACACCCACATAATCATATGTAGTGGCAACTGCATGGTGCCGAACTAGATGCACTGAAAGCGCGCCAACGCACCTCAGTCGTGGGTAACATGTGCAAAGTCGCATGGATTCAGGGCCTCCCTGCGCTCTGGGGCTGTGGGTTAGTCCGCATGGGGTAGTTCGCCCCCTGTGGGCTCCGCGTGGGGCTCTGACCTCAGACTGAACTGGTGACATGTCTCATGGCGCCGGCCACACCAAAAATTCAGACAGCACTTTCAGTCTTGCAAGTGCCTGACAGCTTCATGTTCTAAACCCAGGTGAAGTCGAAGACATATCAAATGAGCTTCTGATGAAGAGAGCGCCTTTGCAGACACGGAAAAAGCTTATTTTCCTACGCAAACACGCCCTTTCGCGACGCCCCTTTTGTGCGCACCCCTTTCGAGCACCTTTTCGCGGAAAAAAGCAACATGCTGAAAACGATATACCTATACTTATCAGTGTATGAGCAGCGACCGAAACCATTCACGTTTGGTTCTACGAAGATTCCTATAAAGGCTTGCACAAGCTTTGCTATACCCCCAATTAAACCAGGCAGTAGTAGAACCACCTACTAGAGTGGCCAGTGGGGTTTGGGGCGCTGCAACATACATGTGCATAACCACTTGCAGATTGGTGAGTGCGTGCGCGTCAGCAATGGATATGATATTGTACATATATATATATACATACATATATGTATGTATATGCTCCCACACGCACACCCATGTTCCACCTTGCAAATCTGCTCCACGCCTGCTGATTTTTGCAATCGCAATAGACATTCAAATTCCAGTTACATTGCAATTCATTCTAATTACAATCCTTGGAAAGGAAATCGCGCTTAAGTCTATACTGCAATAGACATTCAAGTACAGTTCTGTCCTTACGTATATTTGCATGTGAAGTTGTCTTCCGCTGTGAAGTTCTGTTCATGGAAAGGATTGCTCTTTGAATTAATTTGAAAATTGAACATCGAAGTCTAGCGGAAAGGAATCGCCCTCCGAATTCTCATTCTCAATAAGAATTATGAGCGCATTCTTAATTCCTGCTTGATTCAAAATATACTTTAATTAGAATCCATTTTGGTATAAGGAGCCTTAGAAGGAGCCTTGAAAGGAGATTTATGATAAGCCTTTTTGAAGGGAGCTTAGCAAGCATCTTGACAGGAATTGTACAAGCCTTGTAAGTTCTTAGTGGCCTTCTAAGGAGCCTTGAAAAGAGCAGCGCGAAGCCTGGATTGGCATGTACTTCATATACATATAATATAACATGATATGATATGACATGATATAATATGATATGATGTAATATCATGTTAGATATAATATAATAATATAATGTAATATGATATAATATGATGTAATATGATATAAAATCCCTTGGCTAGTCCCCCCAAGATTCCTCCCAAATGAACCATGGACTAACAATGTTATCATTTGCTCAGATCGGCCCTGGAAGAGCCCGAGCTTCCGCAGCCGAGACATGGTGAAGGCCGTGAAGTGGTTTGCTTGCTGCAAGTCTTGCTGAGACAAACGAACCGACAAAAGGTCATACACCAAGTCACACGTAAAACCAAGACGGAGCGCCGTTCCCCATACCCCGCCGAGCCAGCCGGACTCAACATGTCTTTTTGGGCAAACGATATGAGCACGCAGGCACACAGCCAGAGTCTGTTCTTCACAGTGAAATGCGGGGAAAGCTGTGTACGTGTCGTGCAAAGATTGCTGCAGCAATGAAAGGACTGGTGGCAATGCAATCTAAATGTTACAGTGCGGACCAAAGCGCACGGACCAAAGACGAGTTTTAAAGATCCCTCTTTCTTTCCCTCTGTGAGGAAGAGAAAGCAAGAGATCACTCTGGCTTGACGGCCACGACGTACCGCCACTTCATGCCAATGAATGGGATCAGCCAATGGATGAGCGGCACGTTGATCTGGCCGACCGCTTTCACGTCCATGCCCGCGTCCTTCATCTCACTGCGCAGCTGTGCTTCGCTCATCCCGTCTTCGTAGCCCAGCATGTCGGCGCGCCCCTGTGGTCGCGGCGCCTGGTCAGATTTGGGGTCCGAGCCGAAGGCGAAGTGCACGGCCAGGCCGCCGGGCTTGGTGACTTGCGTGAGGCGCTTCAGCGTGGCCGGCAGGTCGGGGGCGAAGGTGATCACCGAGCCGCTCACCACCAGGTCAAAGCTGTCGTCCTGGGCGGGGCACGCCGCCCCGTCGACGATGTCGCCGCACCACGTCGCCACGTTGGGAGTCCCATCTTTCGCCAGCTTGGCGTCCAGCTGTTGGATCATCCCCGGCGCGACATCCATTGCCAGCACCGAGTGGCACTCCGGCAGCAGCTGCAGGCAGAGCTGACCAGTGCCGCAGCCAAAGTCGAGGAGCCGGCAGGACTCGCCGAGCTTGTCCTTGGCGACGTCGCGGATGCACGCAGCCGCAATGCGGTTGAAGCGGGCCACAACAATGCCCATAAAGCCTTTGTCCCAGGACGAGGACTCTTTGTCCCATTCGTTCTTGACTTCTTCGAGCGACTTGGGCGCTGCAGTGCTTGTCTGGGCCATGGCTGATGTTGGCGCTGCCGCCGGTGCTGCTGCTGCGGGCTTGTGCTTTGGTTTGATCTTGCTTGTCGGGTCCGGCTGGTGGTTCCGGATTCTGTGCTGACACTGGGCCTTTCAGCCTCATGTAGCAGGCATACCAAATAGCAAACCATTGGTCCCCCTCCTTATTCACTGATCCTCATCGAGGGAAGTCCAATTGAAACAAGCTCACACCAAGAACAACTGAACAACCATTACCTGACCAACTCGATGTCAGAAGCCAATGCGTTGCCATGGAAACAAGCTGCACGCAAAAAAGCTACAGCCCCGTTTCACCCAGCCATCCCACGCGCCGGCGTCTCCGAGGCCGTGGCCCAGGTTCTCGCTGGACGGGTTCGCCCTAAAGACCTCGGCGCCATCGGCGCCATCGGCGAGGGCGCGAGGGCGCGAGGGCGCGAGACGCTCCCAAGACCCGGAGGAAACGCCAAGTGAGTTGCTGGCCTCATGTACCATGATCAAAGTCACCCCAGTGGTGAATCAAAGGCAAACAACCGATTCCATCCAGAAACCGTCAAAATAATGACCCTAGAGTTGGGACACCAACACTTCGCGGGGATTATTCGGGCAAGCGGGGATGTGCGAGGATTTTTTCTGAGGAAACCAGGGCCGACAGATATGTACACATCCCTGCTTCCTCGGTATCCCTGCTAGTTTGGTTGTCTGACTGAGGGACCAAACAAGGCAAACAAAAACCCCGCCCACATAAGACAAAAAAATAAAAGAGAAACTGGTCGCATCTCAGGCGCAGGCAGAAAACAGGCCCCCTCCTCCCAGGAGGCCCCCTTGTTGGCTCTGACTCGCCTGACCTGAGCTCATGCGGAAGCCGGCGCTTCGCCCGGAGGTAACATGTCCAGCGGCCGTTTACGGGCAGGGGGAGTCTCAACGCCACGACAGCCCAAAAGACTGTTCCGCTTTCTGAAGCTGCCATAATATTTGAAAGTCCCTTGGCCCCAAACCGAGCAATTCTTCGGGCCGCTTGGGTTTCATGTTTGACTCTACGAGCACATCAGAAGCAGAGTCTCTGGGCGCACTGGCCGCGTTGGGGGTAGGCCAGAGCTTCGCCTCGTGACTGCGCACCTCAGTCTGGTTTTCTGCCCAAGCAGCTAACAAGCAATTTGGTGCGACCGATCATAACGGCCGCTCGGAAAGCTTGGTCTCAACCTGGTTGGCGAACAAGCCAAATCCCTCCCTGAGAGCCCCAAACTGTAGACTGGCTTACCTGTGAGTGAGATGCGCACCCCGGATACGAAGCTGGGTCAGGATAATTTTGCAGTCCAAGCAAAGACACAGGCTGGGCTCGCAAGCCAAGTCTGGTCCCACTTGCGCGAAAGACCAAGCAAACAAGAACGAGCCACTCCCCCCATCCAGCCGCATCCAAAAACTTTGTGTGATGCGTGTCGCATCTCGGGCCCCGGCCGGCACGCCCGGCGCCCTGAAGCGTGCGGATGAAGCGTGCGGTTTGATGGTTTGATCCGTCTCAGCGGGTCAAGACGTTATCGTACGATAGCGGTTGCTCCTCGAAGTGCTCCGGTTTTCGAGGATTCTGGAATGCCGGACCATCTTATGCCAGCAATTTGGCGTCTTATCAAGCTGCAGTCTGTCCATCTTGGTGCTTCAACCCCCCACGGGTCAAAGTGGGCATCTTGACAAACCATGGCCCGTAGGGCTGGGGAAAGCTTTTCCTACAGTTGAACCTGGAGCCATGAGTGGGATATCCCCCCTCCCCCATCCCCCAATTCCATTCTTGAGGGCGGGCATGGCAAAAGGACCCAAATCATGCTGATCCAGGATTAATAACAGGGGGGGCGTTCCCTCCAAGAGTGGTCTGAATCCCCCACTAAAAGGGGACACCCCTCTATTAAAATCAACCAGGGGTTCACTCATCCGGGGTTAGCACTACACCCGGCGCGACCTACCGCCGAAGGCTTCCTTCCCTTTCATTGGCCTGCGAGACTCGCTCGTAGCCATCGCCGAAGAGCCGACCTAGAGGATCGGATCGGCGATCTGGGATCCGCGAAGGGACCCCAAATCTTCCCGTCTCACGAGCCTTGCAGAGGTGTGCTAAATTGTAACCTGAAAGCTTTGCATCTCTGCGGCTCAAACTTCGAAATCAACGAGCACTCATGTCAAGAAAACACGAGAAGCTTCATGGGGACGTCTCAAATTGGGAAGCCTCTCACGCAGACCCCCCCTGACCCGACTTCTGAGACGTATCCCCTGAGCAAACATGCTTGCTTCAAACAAAACAAAAAACGAAGCAGGGCGTCTCTTGAGGAAGCGGAGACTAGGTCCTCAGTAGAGAGGTTAGAATAGGGGTACCCTTTTTTTGAACATCTGTCGTCTGTTTCAGTAGGGGAACCCTCCCAACCAAAAAAGTGGGTGAGAAAGGGCAGGCCTAATGGATGTCCATATGGGTCACCCCCCAAAAGGCCATGGGTCAAAATCCAAATCGTACCCCCAGTGAACATCAGCCAATCCCCACTAAAAAAAGAAGCCGAAAACGGGTGGTGAATTCACCAATCCCAACCAAAATGGGATCCCAAAACGGTTTTGACCGCCACAGCCAAAAAATCGGTGAAAGCGCACCTAGCTGGGGGAAGGAGAGGTCGCTTCCCGCAATCGTCCCGCAATCGGCTCCGCCTCGCCAGGTCCGGCTTTTGGTTTCTGGGGGACCCCGGCCGACGCCGCTGCGAAGCTGCACCTCGCCCTGCGAGAAGAAAAAAAAAACAACGTGGAGCCGGGGCGGTTTTTCGGGACAGAACTGTTGACCCACAAGACCACTTTTTGACTAGCCAATTTGGAGACTCCTTCACTCTTGGAGGAAACTCTCTTCATGCCTTGCCGCTCAGGGTTCTTCTCAGGGGTTCTACGGGGTCTACTACTCAGGGTTCTACTCTTGGTTCTACTTTTGGACTACCTCAGGGTTCGACTTTTGGACTACCTCAAGGTTCTGCTTTTGAAACCTAGCACTTCCACTTTTTGGTGGGAATGAGGCACTCCTGGGTTTAAGTCTACCCTGGGGTAGTCAAAAAGTAGAACCCTGACGGATGCGGCAAGGCTCCTCCAAGAGCGAAGGAGTCTCTCCAAATTGGGGCACCAGGAAGTAGATCGAGAATTTGCCAGAAGAACATAACATACCCAGGTGCATTCTATGAAAATTCCCGGCAATTAACCGCCATGTTCAAGCCAACGGCCGCGGTTCTCCAGAATGCGACCCCCTCTACCCTTTGCGAGGTTTTGCACATTTGCCAGGCAGAGGACCGAAGGGACCACTAGTGTTGGCCATTGGATTTTGGGCTCACCGGAAGGCTGCGTAGGTGCCTCACCAAGGACCCACCACCTGCTTCACGTCGTTTGGCGTGGTGCCAAGTCTGCTCAGCCAAACCCATTGCTGCCCAAGTGCTGGATTCTTCTGGAGGGCGAAGGCGGAAGCAATTTGATTTTGGAGCTGCCGCACTGAGCCTGTTCCTTCCTATCAGACTCTCTGGAACACGGAAGACTCTTTGGAACCCTCCCAAAGCACAAATATACAGCGATGGGTCCTTTCCTGCACGCAAAAAGGGGCCCCTGCAACCTGGGTGTTTGCAATCGGGGAAAAGTTGAAACCACCAGCCTCGCGCAGTGATTCGAGGTTCACGTCCGTGCACGACTGAATCTGGTCTTAGCAAACGTGCGCTTGCCAAGCTTCTTTCTGGAGGAAAGGGGGGGGGGAAAAAAAAGGAACCCAATTTGGGGGTGTCCATCTTTGGGGGCAGCCCCTTTTGGTTTGTTTTAACAGGACACCAGAAGGAAACCAACCATTTTCTGGGGTCCCCTCATTTTGGGAAAAACCATTTTAGCCTTCCTTCCACCCACAAAAATGAGACTCGAAGGGAGTTCACTTCACTCAGGTTGGGACCAGGCACCACCAGCTCCATCTGGCGCATGTTCCCGGCAAGTCGGCAAGTCCATAGCTCGCGTGGAACCCCACGGGAGTAGGAAGAGGGTTAGCTTCGTTTTTTTGCGATATCTCAGACATCTCCCTTATAACATCACCCTGGCGGACAGGAACCCTCCACCCAGCCAAATGGCAAAAAGTATCAAGGGCACCACTGGAGGTTCATGGACTTGCGCCTGCTTTAGGTCCTCCATCTTCACTGCGCAGGTGGACAGCCCTCGGAAAAACGGGAGCAAGGTTCAGCATGGTGGACTCTGTAGAAGCTGCTGCTGTCGCGTTCGCAAGCAACTGGACATGCCGGACCGCGAAGGGGGCATTCGCCATTGCTCCGAAGGTGGGTTTGGTCTGCTCGAACCTTGCTTTCAGTTAGTCCCCTGTACCCTGTATCTCTAGCTTGGCACGAGCACCGTCAATCTGCGTGTCGATCAGTGACTTGTTGTCATCTGCAGCCTCCAAGGCAGTGCGAAGGACAGGGTCAGCAAAACAAACGATGTGCAGGTCGTCACATGTGCTCCACAAATACAGTACATGACGCCCGCATAGGACCTTCATTCTATCTGGTTGGAAGAGCGAGCTATCACCAAGAAGACGCGCCCAAGGCGCCAACCACTGAATTCGAGGGGAGGAACAACCAGTGGGCTGGCCAAGAAATTTATCTGCTTGGTGAATGCAGAAGACGGTGCCTTCTGCGACAGAATGTAGAAGACGGTCACGCAACCAGTCAGCCCCAGCACTGTGAAGATGAGGCCAAACTTGGATGGGCGAAAAAATTTCAGAGCTCACACACACACACAGTGTGCGTGTCTTTACGGTACGTTCTTCACATTGGCTTAAGAGGAAACCAACATCAAAACTGGCCACTATGGGGTCCCCCGTATTTGGACACATTCCCATATCGGTTTGAGTGGTTCCACAAACTAACATGACCCCTCCACAAATGAACGACCGCGGGCCTGGTGTGGGAGATGATTCCCCTTAAACCTTCTCCAAATTGAGTCGCCAACAGGAAATGAAAACCACCATGGGGGTTCCCCTGTTGGACGGTCAAACCTAGAAGTGCGGGCCAAACTGTCCAGGCCACTGTGCGAGTCAATCGCCACGAATCAAAGATGGGCTCTGAACTCTTGCCAGAGCCAAAGGCATGGCTATCAAGGCAAAAAAGCATCCGACCAATACGGAATCCGCAAGAGGGATCTTCAGGAGGTCAGCTGCTTATCTCAGCTTCCAGAAAAGACCGAATTTTCTAGGCATCGACTCAACCCCTGGTTGCAACCGCGGTTTGCACCATCACGGCGTTGTCAAGAGCTGGCGAGCCCGGCAACGCTTCGGCCGAGGCGCAAAAATCCAGCCACTGCCCTCCTGTTCTCCCAGGACCTCCTGGCGCGCAGCGTGACAGGACTATGCGGCTGCCTTTTGGCAATACATGGGCCGTAGTGTGGCAAAGAATCTAGGCTCATCTGGAACCAGCAACAAGGGCCCCGAATCTCAGGGCAAGTCGCCTCTCCCGAGAAAAAAAAAAAACTCTTGCGCAGGGATCGGAGGCCTAAGATCCACTTGCTCGGTATCAATTCCGGTCCTCCTACGGCCGTCCACGCAGGTCTGCGGTTGAGGATACCGAGCGGGGAGCCGCAATGAAGGGCCCTTCCCGTCCAGCAACTGCAGAGTTGAAACTAGAGAATGGCTCGTCTTTTGTCCCCATCCAGAACATCCAGCACGAGGCTTAAAAGTTCAAGCATTTCTGCGCCAAGTGTCATCCCTGGAGCTTCTCCAACACGTTTGCTAAAGGGGAAAGCCAAAAAAGAAACACAACCACAGCGGCAAAGCGTGGCGGCGGGGCATAATACGCACCAAGGGGGGCGGAGATCACCCCATGCCTCTCTTGCCTGAGGTCCGCGAGCATATCGTGCTTCTCCAGATGCCCATCCCAACCAGGCGATGGCCAACCAACGAGTTCAAATCAGTTGCAATCCATTGGTTGAACGTGGTTGAAATCTCTGACATGTGTCACTTTGAGAGACGGGAAAAGGCAAGCCTTGTCAAACCACCCTCCAAGGGCAGTCTTCTGGTTGTTTACACTATCACGCCATTTGACAAACGCTTGAATACCGCTCTAGTTGACCCTTCAATACCGCTCTAGTTGACCCTTCAAGCGAATGAATGTGCCCGCGCCGTTTCGAGAATATGGGCCACTATCATGTCAGTGCTACGTGGGAGACATGCAGCCGCTTGCTCTGAAGAGCGAGATCCCCAGCAAAAAAATATGTCACCATGCTCTCGAAAGCAAAGCCTCCCAAGGCCTCAGGAAACTGAGGCCGCCTTCGCCGTCCGCTCAAATGCCCATGGCTCGGCTTTTCAAAGTCCAAAATTCCGGGCTTCCAGTGAACATCCCATTCAATCCAAGCACTAAAATGGGTTCTAAGACATGGGGCCTTGAATTCGCCTACCAAAATGGGATCCCAAAAACGGTTTCGACCAGCCACACGGAATGCTCAGGCTCTTGCGGCCGGCGGTACACATCCAGCGCGCGGATGGACCAAAATGCCTCTGAGAAGACCTGATGGCGCTACAACGAGACCCAAAAAAGTGCAGCCCGTGGCCCAGTGGAGGCGAGAGTTCAACCCCAAAGTTCCCGAAGCTTCTAAGTGTCTTTGCATTACACCTGGGATTCAATGGCGGCATTTTCTAATCCCAGGGTGTAATGCAAAAATCCTTAGAAAACCACCAACTCTCACAGGAACTGGGCAAGTCATAAAAGGCAGCTCAAGAAAGCAATTTGACATTGAAGTTCAGAGCAAAAACAAATTGCCCCAAGCAAAGATGTGCTGAGCTGAGCTGGGGGAGAGCATGAGTGTTCCTTCCCAGAGTTCTGTCGGAGAGCGCCAACACCCCTCTCACGAGAATGGGGGAACTGGGTGGCGGTGGTCCCCTCTGGGATCTTTTGTGGAGGGTCAAAACCCCGTACCCCCAGTGAACATCCCAATCCCCACCAAAATAGACTAAAATGGGTGGTGCGCCTACCCCCAAAATGGTACCATTGGTGTTGACCCATGGCCAATATGTTGCTCCAATGGGCCAGGCTTCGATGCGGGGTTGCCACCCATGGGTGAACCGTGCGGCGGTGCTCGAGGTACATTGCAACTTGGGAGACATCCGAAATCAACAGCAGCCCTGATTCCGTCTGGAATGTACAGACATCCTCCATGACCCTTCTGGCCGTGACGCAAGAAACCCCGATTCGAATCGACGCCTTCCCACGGAGTCTTTCTACTGCAGAAACAACAAGCCGATCACATGGCCATACCAAGGAAAGGGGGCACAGCGACCTGAACACTTTCGAGTGCCAGCTTCTGGATAGTCCCCTTGAGGCGTACGGCTCAAATGCCCCGCGTCCATCCCCAGTGCCAAGCCGCATGTGGGTTGTTGCGGACATATGCGTCACAATTGCCTCGCGCTCGCCGCTGAGGATCCAAGTCCGCAACATGAAACAATATCTGACTGCGAGGCGATCTGGTGTTGTCTCCAAATGCGGGAAATTAGGCATGGCTGGTTTCCTGTTGGTTTCCCATCAAAACAAACCCAGAAAAAATCCCCTGAAAACAATATTGAGAACAAACGCATGTACACACACACAAACAAACCAACAAACAAACAAACAAACAAACAAACAAACAAACAAACAAACAAACAAACAAGCAAGCAAGCAAGCAAGCAAGCAAGCAAACAAACAAACACACAAGCAAGCAAGCAAGCAAGCAAGCAAGCAAGCAAGCAAGCAAGCAAGCAAGCAAGCAAGCAAGCAAGCAAGCAAGCAAGCAAGCAAGCAAGCAAGCAAGCAAGCAAGCAAGCAAGCAAGCAAGCAAGCAAGCAAGCAAGCAAGCAAGCAAGCAAGCAAGCAAGCAAGCAAGCAAGCAAGCAAGCAAGCAAGCAAGCAAGCAAGCAAGCAAGCAAGCAATCGAACAAACGGACAAACAAACAAGCAAGCAAGCAAGCAGACAACAAACGATAAAACCAAACAAACGATAAAACCAACCAAAAAACAAACAAACAAACACACAAACAAACAAACGATAAAACCAAACAAACAAACAAACAAAAGGAACACACACACACACACACATTGTGGTTTGAAAAAAAAAAATGTTCAGCATGCTGCTCTGCTTCTTCTTGTTGTGAGGGTCCAAAAGGCAGAGAGTCCCTTGCGGAACGGGGAAGGGAGCTCCAATGCAAACTGCCGCACTGCAGAGCTTATCAAGCACAGGAATCCCTGGATCTTGTCAGTCAGGCTCAGACTCCATCTCTTAACAGGTTCAACCAAACCACCAGGCTCAGGCAAGTCTGTCCAAACAGGAAATACAGAACTGACAGCACAGCCCGTCCGAGACGGCAAGCCTGCGTAGGGGCAATTGGTCTTCATGGTCGGAGTGCCTGAGCTCAACCGGTGGCCAGGATCCCTTGACCTTCTCAGTCAGGTGATTGAAGAGGGTAAGCCAGGTCGTCCAACAATTGACAAGAGGCATTCTACCCCTTTTATACCGTGAGGGTCCTGATGCATGGGTGAAATCGGCTCCTTTGAGATCCTTTCCAGCAAGTTGGGGTGTGATATGGGATACAATGCCAGCATCCCTCAAGCGTGTCCACAGATTTGATCCGAGCCGCCATAATCACCACAGAAGGTGATGTCGAACACAAGACCTTGGCGCTTCCCAGCAGCACAAGCTCCAGTCAAGCTACCGGCCTCAGCTTTTCAGCTTTCTCACAAGCATGAGAATCCACAAGCCAAGCAGGAAGCTTGCGAGACGAGCATCCGTCGTTGAGCGCTCTCAATCCCTCAGGGTGAGAAGTCCTGCCCCCCATGCCCGTTCCTTCCGCAGGCCTCGAATCGGGGGCATGTCCGCGCCCAGCGAAAACCCCCTGGTCCGGGCGAGTTGGGGCCCCGCGCGCATGCGCTTGAAGTGCTCGGGACCTCGGAGGGAACGTCTTCCGACACCGAGCCGGCTGCTTCGGGAATTGCGGAGGCTCCCGATTCACCGATTCACAGCCGGATCCTGACGTTGCCCCGGTCAACGAAGAAATGGAAGGTGGTCTTGAACAGGGGCCAGGGGTCCCTTGAAGGGAAACTGCTCCAAACCACGTTTTCCAGAAGGTCAGGCTCCAGCCAAAGGTCGCCGCATGCCCAGGAAAAGGGTGCAAAAAAAAAAAAACAGCGGCCCACTTGGCGGCGCATGTTGAAAATCGGGCGGACGAACACTTGCCCCCCGCTTCCCCGGCGAAAAACCGAACCGCTCCTCCGATCCCAGGGCCCCGCGCTGCAGAACTTGGAGCGAAGCGTGAAGAAGGACGTGGGCACACCCCAAGTCTCCGGCCTGGCAAATGGGCCATGGGCTATGGGTTCTGCATGGCTGTGGCTCTCAAAATTGAATAGACCTATGGGTTATGGTCCACACCCATGTTTCCAGGTTTTGGTCCATGTTTTGAATTTTGAGCCACAGAGGTGTTGGCAACCATGTTTGTCCATTTGCCAGGGCAACCCATTTGGGTACCGGTTTTTTGAGCGGCCAAAAATGGGGGGAGTTCTTGGTTGTTGGGCGTACCCTTCTGGCTTGGGGTCGTTCCACATGCCCACATGCTGCAACCTGTTCCTTCCAAGGTCTGCGTCCCGTGCCCGCTGAGACGTCCGTGGTGCCCCACCACCCATTGGCCCCGAGGGCGCCTCGGCTTTTTGGACAGAAGGTCCGCGGGCTCCTTGCGAAAAACGGCTCCCCTCCGCAGTCGTGGATGGACAAAAATCCTTTCGCACCACGAAATGAATCCATGCGAAACCATCCTTTGTTGGTATTTACAGGGGAATCAGCATTCTAGGGTGTCTGAGGTGGTAAAGGATTTCGTCCATCCACAGTAGCATGGCAAGACTTCCACTCGAATCTGACGCTCTGCTTCATGCTCCTGGCAACAAGAAGGGCTCATCTACTCCACAACGGCTTTGCAGGGCCCATCACGCAACTGGGAATGACTTCCACCATTCGCTGGCTCACTGGCATGTGCCCAAAACCTGTGCGGGAAGTGTAGGCTTACCCAGAGCTATGGTTTAAGAACCAAGGGAACACACATTGAGCTCTGCCTCGGTCTTGCAACTTCGGCAGCGGACCTCTTGCAGATGACAAGCTGCTTGGATGGATCGGCTCGGATGGGCTGGGCAAAAGTCTTGACCTGCTATGCCCTTCACTTCCCCACATTCCCCGCCCGCAACCCCCCCCCCTCCCGCAGCAGTGTCCTCACCCCGCTGAAAGAACCAGGTGCCTGGCGGAGGGCCAAAAATCGTAGATCGGTCCTTGCCAAGCCATGATCAAAGTGGGGACCAGTTATCGAACGTATATTCTATTTGTTGCTTCACTTTGAGTCACAGGAAAAATGTAAGATGTATCCTAAGCCTACCCCAGAAGCCCTCTGGCAGGGACTTCCGCAGACTGATTCCTTTGTGCTCGGCCACCGAGGCATTTTGTTGGCGCGCGGATTTCCTGCCGAAAGATGGCTTGCATTTTGCAAAGGCACAAGTCGAACCCGACGGGTGGCCCATCTTGATTTCAGGAACACCGGGAAGCCAATATCCATTGGGAAGCCAATATCATTCACTGTTTGGTTTCGGAATGTTTCACACTTGTTCGGCCTCGGTATCTCCATCAACCCATCCCGCGAAACCGAGTACACAACCCAAATGGCCAATTGAAATCCAGCCGTGATCAAAACCTGCTGGAAAAGTGGGCTGAAACATTTGCTAGGACGGCAAAAACGCCATCCCTTTCCTTCGGTTTCCCCCGGGTTTTGAGCGCATCGCTCCACTCGGCCCGCGACCCTCAAGCTCCGGGGCTCCCCGCGGATGTCCCGGTTCTGCGGGTCCCACTCCGCCACCCAGGTGCCGCCCCCTGCCTAGCGCGGCTCGAGCTGCTCGAAAGCATCGAACACCATCGAGCGGCAGGCCCTCGCTCTGTTTGCCAAACCGGTGGTTTGCCAAACCGGGAAAGAAAGCGGTAAGGAAGGGGCCGATGTTTGCCCGGCACCGGCTTTGTCAGTTCGAACATGAGAGAACTCTGGCCACCCGCATGAAATCTGCAGAATCATTTGCGCCGCTTGCTTGTGGCTCGGCTCGCGCTGTCAGATCCAGCCGCCTGGTTCAAGTGTCGGCCCCAGGAGCCGGCAGGCCTAGGCGCAGAGTGGACGGAAGAGTCGCACCCAAGAGTCGAGTTTAGGGTTTAGGGTTTAAGGTTTAGGGTTTTAGGGTTTAAGGTTTAGGGCTGCGGACTAGTCAAAGAACCAGCAAAAACCGCTGAAAATGCCAGATTGGTGAGCACAGCCTCAAGAGGAACAAAAGCCTTGTCCCCCTAACCTTTAGTGGGCCGAATGTCAGCCCAATATTGTGTTTTTGTCTAATAAAATCCAATGCATTGGAGAGGGTCCTTATACAAACCCCAATGCAGTTTGCTCCAATCAGTTCGAGCGCCCGCGCTGCTTCTGCCCGCAGCCCTGGTTCTCGAACTCCCCTTTGGCCTGTCGCGGAACAACGAAACTGAGTGCCGGGGACGGGGGCGCAGTCAGAAGCCCCGATGTTAAGTGTGCCGAAACTGATGGCTGTGGCTCAAATTTATGTACCAAAATGGCGCCTTGGCAAATGGAACCAAAGACGAGAACCTGCGTAACCCCAGCTCTTTAATTTTGAGCCAGAAGACTCCCCAGCGCTGAGGGGGCAATGCTCAAGCAGAGCGTGCGTCGCTTCACATGCTTCGTGGTTGCCGATGCGTTGATGTCCGTGCAGCTGCCACCTCTGTTGCATGAACCGTCCACTTGACACCGTTCTACCAATCAACTCTGATTCAACCCGAAAACAAATGGAAAAGTAGCAGAATACCTCAAAACAACTACAACAGCATGGACCCCAGATAGCATGACGGATTTGACCGGAATGGCATATGTTTAAAACACCGGACTGATGTTCAAAGCATCATGATGATTCCAACAGCATCATAATGCAGCCGACAGCAAATTAAATGATTGTGGCGTTGTGGCGGCAACACGGCCACAAATCCCCAAACACCACATACGTGTACGCAACATCACACTGACTTCCACCGCCCCATGCCAATTCTGACAGAACGCTGATACCAGCCAGAACCATGCGCCACAAAGACCAGCAGCGCCAAAAAATCAGTTCGACTACCACCGGCCACCACGCGCCACCAGCCCGGAACAAAACCTCGCCAGCCACCGAGAAGACGCGCCCCGAGCAGCCCAAGACGATTTTAGACCCAGGCGCAAAAGCACCCAAGCTGCGTCGCAAAACAAACACCACCGGACACTCCCAGAGCACTTTGAGCCACTGCCTTCCCCGAACAAGCGCCGCAAGCAACCACCACAGCACGTTGAGCACACCAAACGGCACCTGCAGGCGGCAGTGGTGACCTTGAGCACCCCAAACAGCACCCTGGCCAGCACCGACAACAGCACCCTGACCGCATCGCACAACAGTCACTGCCGAGCGCACCCCTGACCAGCACCTAGACCAGCACCAACCTGGCCAGAACTCGCAAAAGCTGCCTGCCCCTGCCAGAAAAACTCATCTCGCCTGGATAAAGCAGTTCTTGGCTTCTTGTCCCCATTGGCCGTTCACCCAGTTCCCCTTGAAGTCGAGGTCCTTGTTCACCTCTGCCTGGTCCTGGGATGGACACATTGTGCTTGCCAGAATGGGTATGGGTCAAAATTGAACCAGGGGAGCGCAGATTTTAGTCCTTGTTTCCATCTACCAGGCTTCCATTTGGGGTACCTATTTTTGACCCACACTCATATGGCTTCAGTTACTCCATCGCATCGCATGTTTTTGCTGAGTGCCTGTCTCAACTGCGAATGGTGGATATTGACCACTTTGCTCATGCACCTCGCGACTGAAGAACCTGCAATGCTCAGTGGGCCTATGGATTAAGCGAACGAATGCCTTTTCGGCACACATGCCTTGATCACACACACACATTGTAGACACAAAGCTCAATGAGCCATGGGAGGTGTGTACCGTAGCCCAAAGAGATCACTGGGAATCCCTCACGATGCAGCCACAGCTGCGCAGTTGTTTCTCGTATGCAGTGTGGTCGTGGCGAACGTCTGGTTGTGGACGGCTTCCAAGATGTCGTACTCCCCCCATCGGGGCCATGCCTCTGGCCGAGCAAAAAGCGACAACCATCAGGTAGTTCGCACCAGCAACAACAACAGGGTTGCCCAACACGAACAAACAAATAAAAATTGTGCCCCACCAGGTGATGTTTGAACCACACAAAGGATATAAGGACCCTTCGAATCGAGATGGGTCGCACAAGACCGGCAATGCTGCAAAAGTGTTGGGTCTGGTCGTGTAGCGTTGGGGCCTTTGTTTGTTCATTTGTTGGCTTCCCCTTTTTGCCCACTAAGCAACTTGTTGTTGGTTCCCCATTGTTTTTTTTTTTCATTTGTTGCTTAAAGAACTTTTGCCCAAGCAACTCACAGCTGGGTGCCCAACATGCTGCGAATCCTGGCGGCGTAACGGTATGAAAACCGTTTTTGAGGCTACCCCGTTGGGGTTCAAGGAAAACCCCAAAGGGAAGGACTCAAACTATGTTGGAAATATGTCAGAAGCACTTACACCAAGATGGTAGTTTCAAGTGTCGCCTTCCCCCTTCGCATTATCTGAAAGGGATGCGACTTGTTTGACCTCTCCCAAATATGGAGTCCAGTCGCTTGCATGCTCAGCTGAAGGCTTGGCGGACTGCTTTTCTGTCGCTCCGGGTCTTTCTCGAAAACCAAAAAAAAACCAGGGAAAACCGATCCGGTTATTGAAAAGAACGATAGTTGGAAAGAATGGGGAATCAGCCCCTAGACCAATGGCCCTTCAGCGGCTCCAAGACAGGCTTCACTTTCATGCCTTTGGTCTAGCTGCCTGGCTTTGCCTCGCTTACTTGTCACCTTCCAACCAACGGCTTGAGGACAAAAGCGGCCCTCGAGAAGCTTTCAGAACCTTTGCGCACTCACGGCCAGCCTGGCCTGATGATACGAAGCTTCAAAGCCAAATCATCTTGTAACGGCATGCAAATGGTGGTTGATCAAAAGGTTCTTCACATGAGACGACTTAAACCACCAAAAAAGATGATATGTCTCACAAAAATTTGAACAATGTTACCATTGATCAAACCCCCCAATGGCAAAGCCCAGAGAGCCGCGTAGGGGAAACCCGCCCCGGAAAAACGCACCCTCGCTCGCCCCACGTTTTTCGCGCCGCGTCCTCCCCGTACATCCAGAACGCCGGCCACGCGCCGCAGGCAATGGGCGCCTTGCCCCAAGAAAAGACACGGGCATGACAAAGACACAATTATCAGCGTCATAAACGTCGGAAAGCGACGCCGTGTTTTGAATACCACACACTGACACTGGAATTCACACGAACACAGAACACAGTTCTTGCTCGTCCATTGCCACAGTAAAGTGGCACGGCTCTCAGTACACAGTGCTACTTACTTTGTGAAGCAACACCGACTGATAAGAATTAAAGGTAGTCTCAAGCTGTTGGAAGAGCCAATTGCTTTCAGAAAGAAAAGCACCTGTTTGCTTTTTGGCGGAGCCATTGGCTGTTTCCGGCCATGCGTCAAATTCGGAGTGCCAAGCTTGAGGCTCGGCAAACACAACTCTCCGAGCGGATCGAGAGTTGTAACGTGGGGGGGTGCGAGCGAGCCGCCCAACTGGCAGGATCCGTGGCTTCAAGATCCTCCGGCCGGGGCCGTTGGCAAGACGACGTTACTTGAGATCGCCTTCGGAAGTTCGGAAAATGTGAAAGTGAAAAACATGCACCACCAGATGTCATATCCCCGTCGACACAAAGAATGCTGGCGCTCTCTGAGATCTGCACATGGTCAACATCAAGGATGAACAGGCCGTCCTCAAACCATTCGTTCGACCTGAAGGCTCCCAAAGCAGGAGCCCGAGCTGCCAAATGAGTGGGGTTTTGCCCAAAACCCATGGCGACGAATCAGGAGGGCAAATATCTGCACCCACTCTATGCGAATCTGTTTGCGACTGTCCCCACCAGATTTCCTCGAGTGTTGGGCTCAATTGATCAAGAAGCAGAGGACCCGAAAAAGGCCCCTTGGCCGAATGCGCGAGGACTCAAACGGCGTGGATTCAGCGTCCGGTGACTCGCCGGGTGCCGCGCTCTATTCGCACCTCGGCAAAAAGCGACTCGCGAGTCGGAATATCAGGCCTTTCCGCGGCATGGAGAAAAAATGTTTGTAGGGGACTCCTAGTCTGGGTTGGTTATATGGAAAAATGTGGTCATCTAGAAAGATCGGCAGATTGGTCGACATGCTCGAAATCATGCCCGGGCTGTCCTCAGATCCCCTGCGTCACACCAGATGTTCCATGCTCACCTTCCATGTTCATGTCAGTGTCCCTTCGGCAGAACAACCAAACTCTGGAAGATACTTAGAAAAAAGGAAAACAAAACAACAAAACGACAAAAAAACAGGGGGGGGGGGGGAAAACTCAAGCAACCACAAAAGCAACTCGAGCGCTCTGTTGACGGTCCTGACTTCGCTTGACTTCGCGACTGCCAAGCTGCGCTCTTGCGGCCTTGCGTACCGCTCAGCACCTGAGAACTGGAGAACTCGAATCGGGATCCCCGACGAATCATTTGCCAGGCCGCCCCCTTCTTGGCGTATTGACCGAGTTTTGCAGTTGGTGCTACAGTTGGTTTTGCAGTTTCTGCCAAACCAAATTGATCCACAGTTGGTGTGGATTGCATGTTTTTCTGCCAAGGCAAATTGATCCACTCCTCAATCGCACTCTCGATGGGCCCCCTCCCCCTCCCGCGCCGGAAAGCAAAAGCAAGGAAGGACCCACGCCTTTTCTCGGAAGTCTCCCTTGGCAACCACCCGGTCAAATCTCCTTGCTTTGGCCCGACCCGTGTTTCAATCAAGGTTTCATCCCTTTCCTCAACTCTGGAGAGAAAGTTCATCGTGGCTCAGCCACAAAAAGAGCAAATAGAGGCAGCCCCCTCTCTTTACCGGCTTGAACCCTGCCATTCGCGCCTCCGTAGCCTCTGTGCCAATGAAGACGCGGTCAAAGGCTGCGGACACCATGCCTCCCATCGCCCTCTTTGACATGTGAGTCGACTCAAAGACAAAAACATAATTTAGCGAGTCGGCTCAAATTCACCACCGTCGCGCTTGACCTTCAGCGAGCTCCTGTTCGGCCGCGGAAGGCGGAAGGCCGGGGCCCCGGGGCCGGGGGGAAAGCCTCAAAGATCCGGGGCGTCAAGGTCGGTGAGGTCTATGTCAAGAGGCAATCAAAATCTTCCGAGTGAAAAAACGGTCTCAATGGACTCAAAAAAAGTCCACCCTTCATTCATGGAGTCCGCCAAGGAAGGGCTTCTTGGGGTCGCCTCGGCGTGTTTTGGGGTCGCCACCGAGCCACCGAGACGCGCCGCCCATTTGCCTCGCCGATCCGCCTCTTCGAAGGTCACGAATTCGACCTTCGGCGCGCCGCATGCATGGCTCATGCGGATGGCTGGACGAAAAAACGCATCCAACGCACCATCCCCCAAGAAACTCCCACGGAATGCGGTGGTTCCCTTGATTTGGACCACATCCTGTACCAAGGAAACCCTAGAATGATGGATTCCCCAACGTAAATTACCAACGAAAGATGGTTTCAGCCATAGTTTCATTTCGTGGTACGACCGGATTTCATCCTTCCACAGTGGTGCTCTTTGACCCCTGGAACACCAGATGCCAGATATCCGATTTCTTGAAGATCGGATATCAAGATGGCCAACAACAAAGGAAGCACAACAAAGGCGCACTTGGTGCTCCGCACAACAACCAAATCAACATGTATCGGTTGTGAAAGGTGTGGGCGAAATGCGAACCACTTAGATTCATCGCGTCGCGGAAGCATGGGAAACCATTGGAGCAGCCCTGTAAAAAGCGTGCATTTACGCCATGGGCAACCAATTGAATGGGAAGAAGAACCCTTTATGAACAATTGCATCTTTGTGCCGCTGTTCACCTGCACACGTTCACCTGCACATGTTTTGTCCACAATCCCTTTGAACTTGTGTCTTCTACGTGTGGCTTGCTGGCACTCAACGCCAGCACAAAGCCAAACTCAGACTTGAAGCCAGCCATCCGATCGGCCTTCACTCCAATAATGATAATACTAAATAGAGAATAATGATAACAATAACAATAATAACAATAATAACACTAATAACAATCATGATAAATAACATTCATGATAAATCACAATAATAACTCAAGGTGCGCAAGGGTGGCAATTTCTCAAACCACCTTCCACCGCCTTTGGCGCCTAAGCACGTCTCTGAGGCTTGGGCCACACCGTGTGTGGGATCCGGCCCGTCGAAGAAGGACCAGTGCGTGAAGAACTTCTCGCCTCGGGGCGAGTCTTCGAGCGGTTGAACGCGTTCACCAACATCGCGGTCTCAGAGGTGGAAACCAACAATTCCAAAGATGTAAGCTGGTCTTGTCTTGTTTAACAACCAACCTGGTTTGGTGCTTCCTTTTTCGAAACAAGCAAGAAGCACCAAACCAACCAAAGCCACCGAAGAGCCTGATCCATGCTGCTTGGCATGCGTCTTGCATCGTTCTCTGCATATCGGCCCTGGTGTGTCCAAGCCCTGCGCCTACCATGGAGTGCGTGAGTGCCTGGCTAGACTTGGGCGACATATCCAAGTGACAAAGGCAACGGAAATCACCAGCTTCCCCTTCACAAGTTGCGATGGTGGTCTCCCTTGGAACTGCCACCTTTGAAAAGAGGTTGCGCGACACAAGTGCTTGAAATTGCCGTGTTGTTGTTGTTGCTGCTGCTGCTGCTGTTGTTGCTGCTGCTGCTGCTGTTGCTGCTGCTGCTGCTGGTGCTGTTGCTGTTGCTGTTGCTGTTGCTGTTGCTGTTGCTGTTGCTGTTGCTGTTGCTGTTGCTGTTGCTGTTGCTGTTGCTGTTGCTGTTGCTGTTGCTGTTGCTGTTGCTGTTGCTGTTGTTGTTGTTGTTGTTGTTGCTGTTGCTGTTGCTGTTGCTGTTGCTGTTGCTGTTGCTGTTGCTGTTGCTGTTGCTGTTGCTGTTGCTGTTGCTGTTGCTGTTGCTGTTGCTGTTGCTGTTGCTGTTGCTGTTGCTGTTGCTGTTGCTGTTGCTGTTGCTGTTGCTGTTGCTGTTGCTGTTGCTGTTGCTGTTGCTGTTGCTGTTGCTGTTGCTGTTGCATGCTGTTGCTGTTGCTGTTGCTGTTGCTGTTGCTGTTGCTGTTGCTGTTGCTGTTGCTGTTGCTGTTGCTGTTGCTGTTGCTGTTGCTGTTGCTGTTTGCTGTTGCTGTTGCTGTTGCTGTTGCTGTTGCTGTTGCTGTTCCTGTTGCTGTTGCTGTTGCTGTTGCTGTTGCTGTTGCTGTTGCTGTTGCTGTTGCTGTTGCTGTTGCTGTTGCTGTTGCTGTTGCTGTTGCTGTTGCTGTTGCTGTTGCTCTGCTGTGCTGCTGTGTGCTGTTGCTGTTGCTGTTGCTGTTGCTGTTGCTGTTGCTGTTGCTGTTGCTGGTGCTGCTGCTGCTGCTGCTGCTGCTGCTGCTGCTGCTGTTGCTGTTGCTGTTGCTGTTGCTGTTGCTGTTGCTGTTGCTGTTGCTGTTGCTGTTGCTGCTGCTGCTGCTGCTGCTGCTGCTGTGGCTGTTGTGGCTGTTGTGGCTGTTGTGGCTGTTGTGGCTGTTGTGGCTGTTGTGGCTGTTGTGGCTGTTGTAGCTGTTGTGGCTGTTGTGGCTGTTGTGGCTGTTGTGGCTGTTGTGGCTGTTGTGGCTGTTG